GGACATGCCGCCACATCCTGCACCAGCACCACCCGCTTCAGGTGGCAGCGCCCTGCAAATAGCCACGAGAAGACTTCGAAGCCCACTGAGAAAAAGTAAGCCGACTTCCACTCCCCTGAACACTGTTCGCTTTCACACATTACTGCCTTCCTCAGAATTGTGCTGGACACGGTGCGCATGGAAGCCCGTCTCCCAGACGACAAACTGGCGGACCTCCGCGAGCTCCTCAGCGAGCTCCTCAGTAGTGACTACACCCAATTTCCAAAACTTGCTCCGATCGCTTCCATTTTGGTCTCATTCGATTCTCCCAGGCCTAGTACATAGGAAATCTGCAAGTATTATTCAAATCGGCCCAGCCATTCTTGAGTTTTAGTGATTTGAAGTGCGCCAAGTTGGACTTTTGCTGGAAACAGAACTGAATGGGAGTGATGGGAGAATCGAGAACGACCGCACAGTCAGTGCATGCAGTACAGTGTACAGTGCACACGCCTCGTCACTCGAACTGCGCGTACGAAATTGCATACTTTGGTATGCTGGCGCAGAACAAATTCTCTCGTAGAGGAAGACGAAAGCGTCTCAACGCCTTGTAATTTCACATGGCCAGTAGTTTTGCGACGCTGAAGACGATGGAATAGTCCGCGACGCTGCGACCCGACCAGAACAACCCGAAATTCATACCCTGAAAAAGCGCTGAGCGCAGAGCTCCTAAATTTTGTCGTATGGAAACGGGACTTCGGGTCTCAAGGACACGAACATCTCCTCTCTCAGATAAAGCAATTCACTCAATGCGATATTCTACAATTTGACCTGGCCACGCCAAAATGCACTGCCATGTCGGATTCTCCCATCGGAAGTATAGAAACTTGTTTCCAAAAAATCAGCGTCTGGGTGCGAGGGAGTAAAGTCACTATCCTCAGCGAGCTGTCACGCTGCACCCAGACCACGCAACGCAAACTCGATCACTTCCTGGGGAAACTCTCCTTTGCGTCGAGCGTCGTCGTACCAGGCAGAACATTTACGCGGCGCTTATGGGATATCAACAAGAGGTTTAGCCGCACCAAGCCCTATTTCCGTATCACTCTGACAGGCGAGGCCAGGAAAGACATCCGCTGGTGGCAGCTTCTGATCCAGCACTGGAACGGGAAGGCATTCCTCCTCTATAACAGCAGTACATCGTCGGCCGACCTTGGACTGTACACAGACGCTAGCGGCACTCTCGGCTGGGGCGCATTCTACGGCAAGGAGCAGCGCTGGATCCAGGGCAGTTGGACAAAGGAGCAAGAAGAAGAGAGCATCGGATACAAAGAGCTCTATGCCGTGGCAATGGCTTGCAGTACTTGGGGCCATCTGTGGTCCCAGCAACGTATAGTACTGCATTGCGAAAATCAGTCCGTTGTCGAATGCCTGCAGTCAAGCTCCAGCAAGTCACCAGGCATGATGTCACTGCTGCGTGCATTGTTCTTCGTTTGTGCAACTCACAGCTTCACCATTACTGCCAAATATGTACCTGGGCATCTGAATTCTATCGCCGATGCTCTGTCTCGTTTCAACCTGCAGGCATTCCAGCAGCTGGCACCATCGGCAAAGCAACCCCCGGACACTGCAATCCGCCTCCCTCTTCTGGACTGATGCGGGAGGTCGCCGACCTGGCAGCCATGGCAATCGCCCCGACAACACGGCGCACGTACACCACTGGCGAAAGGAAATTTACGCAATTCTGTGCGTTGCAGAGATGGACGCCCATGCCGGCTACAGACACGATGCTCAGCTGCTTCGCAGCACACCTCACACAATCGGTTCAACCACAGACAATTCATGTCTACATGGCCGCAGTACGCAACATGCATCTCGAAGCCGGATTCCGCGATCCAACGATGAACGCATTGCTGCTGCCACGTGTTATGCGAGGTATCAAGAGGACGGCGACTGACCCGGCAATCCAGCGCACTCGCCTCCCAATCACCATTGATTTGCTGCGGAAGCTCCTCAACCAACTCAGCCTGGACCAACGGCGTCACCAGCAGGACAAGTGCATGCTCAAGGCGGCAATGGTGCTCGCCTTCTTCGGATTTCTCCGATGCGCTGAATTTACTGCGCCTCCAGCCGGGTTTGACCCTGCCACTCATGCCACGCGCCAGGATGTGACTCTGGATGTCACTCAAGGACGCACATATATCCGCTTCCACATCAAGCAATCGAAGACGGACCAAATCCGTCAGGGCCATGCAGTGATAATCGGTAGTACCACTTCACAACCTTGCCCGGTTGCCGCCCTCCTGGCATATTTTACAGTCTGTCCGTCTGACGCCGCTGACGCACTCTTCCGCTACCGCTCTGGGAGACCGCTGACCAGGCAGGCACTGACAGAAGAGCTCCGACAGCTTCTCCCACTCACGGGAACACCCAATTCACGCGATTACGCTGGTCATTCGTTCCGCATCGGTGCCGCCACAACTGCAGCCATGGCGGGTACCCCTGACTGGCTAATCAGGGCAATGGGCCGATGGAGAAGCGACAGTGTCTTGCGCTACATCAGGACAACCGACACAGACATGGCGCAGCTGACCCAAAAGCTGTCAGAGGTACAAGCGCATCACAGAACGCATGGAGGTATGTAAGAACCCGCCACGCGGGCACGCAACTCGCACCCATGCACGTACCCACACGGCTGACCGTTTGGAACAGCACAGCAACTTGCTCTGCTAGGATTGTGCTGACAAACTGCGCTGATAGCAACAACAGTGTCATTCACGTGCATTGCAATGTGTCACAACTTAGCATGGAGGCTGGGCAACCATGGGCCAGCTATCTCCTCTCATCTGGCAATTATCACGGCCTTCGGCCATCACACTCATACTCCCACACTCCTGCCTCCTAACGGGCATTGCACTTCGTGCGTGGACCGTCCACACTCCGTCCATTTCATGGGCTGCACTTTGTGCGTGGACATACATACACACTATCATACAGGCCGTCCACACTCCGCCCAGTTCATGGGTGCCCATTTTATGGGCTGCACCTCGTGCGTGGACTATCCTACATGAATATCACATGCCAGATTCGGTTGCCCAGCACTCCATAAATCCTCCAAGTGATGTGTGCTCTCCACTGGTCTGCAATAGCGAGTGCATGCGTGTTAATCTGACATTTTCTCACCTTTCTGCCCGTTCGCAGCTCAGAAAATGACAATGACCATCCTCATCTTCTTGTGTAGCTGGACATAGACAAGTGCACCAAGAAAAAGAGCCACATTTCTCTAAAGAACTCGCCCAGGGCTGCTGAAAACTGAAAAATAACCTATCTCACAGTTTGGGGCTTTTTACCCGTGAATCTTCAATTTGCGACTAAACAAACTATTCACAGCAGTGCCAAATTTTCTGGGTCACTGAATGTGGATGCCAGCGCCCTACAAGCAAACCTAAAATCAAATCAATGCGACCACTGACATTACAGCTGGGTCATGTTGTAGAGAGGTCCATTAAAATTCAAAGGTCAGCACAAATGGTCAAATTCCGACATTTTCTCACCTTTCTGCCCGTTCGCTGGTCAGAAATTGACAATGACCATCCTCCTCTCCTTGTGTAGCTGGACGTAGACAAGTCCACCAAGAAAAAGAGCCACATTTCTCTTAATAACTCGCCCAGGGCTGCTGAAAGCTGAAAAATAACCTATCTGACACTTTGGGGCTTTTTACCCGTGAATCTTCACTTTGCGACTAAACTTTTCACAGCAGTGCCAAATTTTCTGGGTCACTGAATGTGGTTGCCCGCGCCCTACAAGGAAACCAAAAATCAAAATCAATGCGACCACTGACATTACAGCTGGGTCATGTTATAGAGAGCTACATTGAAATTCAAATGTCAGCACAAATGGTCAAAATCCAACATTTTCTCACCTTTCTGCCCGTTCGCAGCTCAGAAACAGACAATCACCATCCTCATCTCTTTGTGTAGCTGGATATAGACAAGTGCACCAAGAAAAAGAGCCGCATTTCTCTAAAGAACTCGCCCAGGGCTGCTGAAAGCTGAAAAATAACCTATCTCACAGTTTGGGGCTTTTTACCCGTGAATCTTCACTTTGCGACTAAACTATTCACAGCAGTGCCAAATTTTCTGGGTAACTGAATGTGGGTGCCAGCGCCTTACAAGCAAACCTAAAATCAAATCAATCCGACCACTGACATTACAGCTGGGCCATGTGATAGAGAGGTACATTGAAATTGAAAGGTCAGCACAAATGGTCAAATTCCGACATTTTCTCACCTTTCTGCCCGTTCGCTGGTCAGAAATTGACAATGACCATCCTCCTCTCCTTGTGTAGCTGGACGTAGACAAGTCCACCAAGAAAAAGAGCCACATTTCTCTTAATAACTCGCCCAGGGCTGCTAAAAGCTGAAAATAACCTATCTGACACTTTGGGGCTTTTTACCCGTGAATCTTCACTTTGCGACTAAACTTTTCACAGCAGTGCCAAATTTTCTGGGTCACTGAATGTGGTTGCCCGCGCCCTACAAGGAAACCAAAAATCAAAATCAATGCGACCACTGACATTTCAGCTGGGTCATGTTATAGAGAGCTACATTGAAATTCAAATGTCAGCACAAATGGTCAAAATCCAACATTTTCTCACCTTTCTGCCCGTTCGCAGCTCAGAAACAGACAATCACCATCCTCATCTCTTTGTGTAGCTGGATATAGACAAGTGCACCAAGAAAAAGAGCCACATTTCTCTAAAGAACTCGCCCAGGGCTGCTGAAAGCTGAAAAATAACCTATCTCACAGTTTGGGTCTTTTTACCGGTGAATCTTCACTTTGCGACTAAACTATTCACAGCAGTGCCAAATTTTCTGGGTAACTGAATGTGGGTGCCAGCGCCTTACAAGCAAACCTAAAATCAAATCAATCCGACCACTGACATTACAGCTGGGCCATGTTATAGAGAGGTACATTGAAATTGAAAGGTCAGCACAAATGGTCAAAATCCGACATTTTCTCACCTTTCTGCCCGTTCGAAGCTCAGGAAACGACAAAGACCATCCTCATCTCCTTGTGTAGCTGGACATAGACAAGTGCATAAGAAAAAGAGCCACATATCTCTAAAGAACTCGCCCAGGGCTGCTGAATGTTGAAAAATAACCTATCTGACACTTTGGGGCTTTTTACCCGTGAATCTTCACTTTGCGACTAAACTATTCACAGCAGTGCCAAATTTTCTGGGTCACTGAATGTGGGTGCCAGCGCCCTACAAGCAAACCAAAAATCAAATCAATGCGACCACTGACATTACAGCTGGGTCATGCTATAGAGAGGTACATTGAAATTCAAAGGTCAGCACAAATGGTCAAAATCCGACATTTTCTCACCTTTCTGCCCATTCGCAGCTCAGAAACAGAGAATGACCATCCTCATTTCCTTGTGTAGCTGGACATAGACAAGTACACCAAGAAAAAGAGACATATTTCTCTAAAGAAGTCGCCCAGGGCTGCTGAAAGCTGAAAAATAACCTATCTGACACTTTGGGGCATTTTACCCGTGAATCTTCACTTTGCGACTAAACTATTCACAGCAGTGCCAAAGTATTCTGGGTCACTGAATGTGGGTGCCAGCGCCTTACAAGCAAACCAAAAATCAAATCAATGCGACCACTGACATTACAGCGGGGTCATGTTATAGAGAGGTATATTGAAATTCAAATGTCAGCACAAATGGTAAAAATCCGACATTTTCTCACCTTTCTGCCCGTTTGCAGCTCAGAAACAGACAATGACCATCCTCATCTCCTTGTGTAGCTGGATATAGACAAGTGCACCAAGAACAAGAGCCACATTTCTCTAAAGAACTCGCCCAGGGCTGCTGAAAGCTGAAATAACCTATCTCACAGTTTGAGGCTTTTTACCCGTGAATCTTCACTTTGCGACTAAACTATTCACAGCAGTGCCAAATTTTCGGGTCAATGAATATGGGTGCCAGCGCTCTACAAGCAAACCAAAAATGAAATCAATGCAACGACTGACATTACAGCTGGGTCATGTCATAGAGAGGTACATTGAAATCGAATGGTCAGCACAAATGATCAAAATCCGACATTTTCTCACCTTTCTGCCCGTTCGCAGCTCAGAAAACGACAATGACCATCCTCATCTCCTTGTGCACCTGGACATAGACAAGTGCACCAAGAGAAAGAGCCACATTTCTCTAAAGAACTCGCCCAAGGCTGCTGGAAGCTGAAAATAACGGCAGGGTCAAATTTCTTGGGGCACTGCCTACGGGTGAAAGCCATAGTCAGCAATCGCATGTCATCACGTACATTGAAAATCAACATAATTTTGCGAATCGCCTTTTTTTTCAGGATCACTTTTCAACGAAGACGAAGCAAAGTCGGCCGAACGAAGCCTAGAGGAAGAAAATCACCCTCTCCACTTCACCATCACGATACTGACATAGATACGAGATGAAACAACTAAAAAATCCACAAGAAAACTGTACGGCGACTTTGGTCTGACTTTGGTCTGAGAATTTCTATCACAATCAAAAATGTACGAGGAGCACTCAAAAATAAGCCACAGACGTACCTTTATCGCTCTCTACTCCTTTTTCAAGGCACAAAAGTCGACTCTCCACTTTCAAACCAGGAACTAGACATACCAGTGGTCCTTTTCAGCTGCTCCACGAGCGCAGGAAATGATCGCCAAGGGGTGCAGAGCAGCATCCATTCCAGAAAAAGAGCTAAAATACGAGTGAGACTGCATGCCTGAGTACATGAGTACATGTATGAGTACATGCAGAAAATAGTCAATTTCAGCGTTTCTGCTCCAAACAGCAACTAGCTTCGACTAGAAACAAAGATTACACCAAAGGATCAAACAACAACCATTTTCTGCAGTTTTTTGCAGATGGCTTCCTTGTGCTTGGCCCAGCACGCCAAAAATCACACCTCGGAGGAGTACAAAAATTACAACTCTCAGATGTCCTCGATTGCCGGGCCTCCTAGCAAACCAAAAATCTAAGCAATTCCAGCACCCACATTGCAGCTGGGCACATTTACCCACAGGTACATTGAAATGAACAGGTGTGCACAAATGGTCAAAAATTCACCATTTCTCACCTTTCCGACTATTCACAGCTGCAACATGGACAGTGACCACCGTGAATTCCTACTATAGTCACACAACGGGTAGTGCACGACAGAAATGACACACATTGTCATAAACGACCTGCCCAGGGCTCCTGAACCCTGTAATTCATCTATCTCCAAGTTTGGGGCATTTTGCCCGTACATCCGGAGCTGGAACTCAAGCCAGCTACGGCAGGGTCAAATTTCCTGGGGCACTGCCTACGAGTGCAAGCGGCCTACTAGCAAACCAAAAATCTAAGCAATTCCAGCACCCACATACCAGCTGGGCCCATTTACCCACAGGTACATTGAAATGAACAGGTGTGCACAAATCGTCAAAAATCACCATTTCTCACCTTTCCGACTATTCACAGCTGCAACATGGACAGTGACCACTGTGAATTCCTGCAGTAGGCACACAACGGATAGTGCGCGACAGAAATGACACACATTGTCATAAACGACCTGCCCTTGGCTCCTGAACACTGAAAATCACATATCCCATATTTTAGGACATTTTGCCCATATATCCGGAGCTGGAACTCAAGCCAGTTACGGCAGGGTCAAATTTCCTGAGGCACTGCCTACGAGTGCAAGCGGCCTACTAGCAAACCAAAAATTTAAGCAATTCCAGCACCCACATTGCAGCTGGGCCCATTTACCCACAGGTACATTGAAATGAACAGGTGTGCACAAATGGTCAAAATTTCACCATTTCTCACCTTTCCGACTATTACCAGCTGCAACATGGACAATGACCACTGTGAATTCCTGGAGTAGGCACACAACGGGTAGTGCGCGACAGAAATGACTAACGTTGTCATAAACAACCTGCCCCGGGCTCCTGAACCCTGAAAATCACATATCTCCTATCTTAGGACATTTTGCCCATACATCCGGAGCTGGAACTCAAGCCAGTTACGGCAGGGTCAAATTTCCTGGGGCACTGCCCACAAGTGCAAGCGGTCTACTAGCAAACCAAAAATCTAAGTAATTTTATCACCCACATTGCAGCTGGGCCCATTTACCCACAGGTACATTGAAATGAACAGGTGTGCACAAATCGTCAAAAATTCACCATTTCTCCCCTTTCCGACTATTCACAGCTGCAACATGGACAGTGACCACCGTGAATTCCTGTCATAGGAACACAACGGGTAGTCCACAACAGAAATGACACACATTGCCATAAACGACCTGCCGAGGGCTCCTGAACCCTGCAAATCACCTATCTCCAAATTTGTGACATTTTGCCCGTACATCCGGAGCTGGAACTCAAGCCAGTTACGGCAGGGTCAAATTTCCTGGGGCACTGCCTACGAGTGCAAGCGGCCTACTTGCAAACCAAACATCTAAGCAATTCCAGCACCCACATTGCAGCTGGGCCCATTTACTCACAGGTACATTGAAAAGAACAGTTGTGCACAAATGGTCAAAAATTCACCATTTCTCACCTTTCTGGCTATTCACAGCTGCAACATGAAACAGTGACCACCGTGAATTGCTGCAATAGGCACACAAAGGGTAGTGCTTACAAGAAATGACACACATCGTCATAAACGACCCGCCCAGGGCTGCTGAAAGCTGAAAATAACATACACCTAGTTTGGGGCATTTTGCCCGTACATCCGGAGCTGGAACTCAAGCCAGTTACGGCAGGGTCAAATTTCCTGGGGCATTGCCTACGAGTGCAAGCGGCCTACTTGCAAACCAAACATGTAAGCAATTCCAGCACCCACATTGCAGCTGGGCACATTTACCCACAGGTACATTGAAATGAACAGGTGTGCACAAATGGTCAAAAATTCACCATTTCTCACCTTTCCGACTATTCACAGCTGCAACATGGACAGTGACCACCGTGAATTCCTGCAATAGGCACACAAAGCGTAGTGAAACGACAGAAATGACACACATTGTCGTAAACGACCTGCCCAGGGCTCCTGAACCCTGTAATCCACCTATCTCCAAGTTTGGGGCATATTGCCCGTACATCCGCAGCTGGAACTCAAGCCAGTTACGGCAGGGTCAAATTTCCTTTGGCACTGCCTACGAGTGCAACCGGCCTACTAGCAAACCAAAAATCTAAGCAATTCCAGCACCCACATTGCAGCTGGGCACATTTACCCACAGGTACATTGAAATGAACAGGTGTGCACAAATGGTCAAAAATTCACCATTTCTCACCTTTCCGACTATTCACAGCTGCAACATGGACAGTGACCACTGTGAATTCCTGCAATACGCACACAAAGGGTAGTGCACGACAGCAATGACACAGGTGTCAATGTCGACCTGCCCAGGGCTGCTGAACCCTGAAAATTTCGGGCTTTTTGCCCGTACATTCGGACTTGGAACTCAGGCCAGTTACAGGAAGGTCAAATTTTCTGGGGCACTGCCTACGAGTACAAGCCGCCTACTAGCAAACCAAAAATCTAAACAATTCCTGCACCCATATTGCAGCTGGCCCTATTTCCCCACAGGTACATTGAAAAGAACAGGTGCACACAAATGGTCAAAAGTTCAACATTTCTCACCTTTCCGACTATTCCCAGCTGCAACATGGACAGTGACCGTCACGAATAGCTGCAATAGGCACACAAAGGGTAATGCACAACAGAAATGACACACATTGTCATAAACGACCTGCCCAGGGCTGCTGAACCCTGATAATATCCTATCTCCAAGTTTGGGGCTTTTTGCCCGTGCTTCCGGACTTGGGACTCAAGCCAGTTACAGCAGGGTCAAATATCCTGGGCAACTTCACACAAGTGCAAGCGGCTTACTAACATACCAAAAATCTAAGCAATTCTTGCACTCACATTGCAGCTGGGCTCATTTACACACACGTACATTGAAAGGAACAGTTGCGCACCAACAGTCAAAAATTCACCATTTCTCACCTTTCCGACTATTCACATGTGCAACACGGACAGTGAGCACCGTGAATTCCTGAAATAGCCACACAAAGGGTAGTGCACAACAGAAATGACACACATTGTTATAAATGACCTGCCCAGGGTGGCTTAAAACTGAAAATAACCTACCTCTAAGTTTGGGTTTTTTGCCCGTGCTTCCGCACTTGGAGCTCAAGGCAATCAAAGCAGGGTCAACCACCGTGAATTCTTGCAATTATGCTAACATGTCGGCCGGTGTTGAGGAAGGCCGTGGCGGACAGAAGTTGTGGCGAAGAGCCAAACAAATATGCAATCTTTCTAAGCCCGGCGCTCCGATTCCCGATCTGTGAAATGGACTTTGACGACTACACGTGGTGTAGAGAAGGCCGCCTTGCTAGCTCGCCTCTTCTCTCAATATTCTTCACCACCTTCTTAGCCAACACACTGCATACGGCTAGCCAATGTCACGGTTGCGGAGTCATTCGAATTTCAATAATTTTAGAAGTACAATTAGTGTTCTTTGGACCCTATCAAGCGAGAGAACTGCATCTCACCTCGAAATTTGGTGTGTTCCACCAAATTTGGACCCATTTGCCGTGAAATTGCCCGTCACGCCTCAAATGACGTGCGCAGCTAATAGAGAGGCTAAGCTGCACATTATTTTGAGGTGACGCAAAAGTTGAGCTCACAGTATTTGGCTCGAGCGTCGAAAAACGACGCGAATGACCTGCAGCTCACTTCGAAAATTGGAGTTTTATCCGTCCGACCAGTCAAAAATCTACGACTATCCGTCGATCAGTAAACCCATCATATCTCAGTCATTTCTTGACCAAATTCCACGGGGTCTATCGCCGTTAGAAAACACCATGCTATCGTCTCGAACAATCGCCGAAGAGCTACGACGCTCCCTTGCAACGAAATTGTCTGCCGAAAGTAAATTCACGGAAATTGCGATTTTTCTGCGCTCGTGAACATTTCAAAGTCAGATTTTTCTTTTTTTGCATGACAGTTACGTCACCAAGCACATGCTCATGACGTAAAACCAAAAAAGTGTTCCGTACACAAAAATTCAAAGTCCAGCGATGGAGGAGAGTGAAATGGCGAGACAATTTGGATTCTGCCCGCAGATCTGGCGCTGGGGCAAGTTTGGCAAGTGGCGGCGCTTGACTTGTGGCTTTATAGATGTTGAATGTGGGCTCTGTGCATTCGTCGCGGAAGGACCTTTCCAGAAAGCATAAGATCCTGGAATTCGGCCAATGGAGACTAAAGTTATGATAATTTGAAGGTAAAAATAATTATTAATATGTCGTGAAATTGCAATTTTGGCCTTCGCAGCGATTTTGTCGGACGGATAAGGGTTAAAGGGGAAGTTAAGGCTAAAATCAAAATTTCACCAGTTGTAGTCTTTGGGGTGCTGAGTCGAATGGTCTTGGTCCGAGGAAGCTGAGACGCTCCCTTCCTACTTTATTCACAATCGAACTCGCGCACTTCCACCGAAACTGGGTGACTGCGCCCTACTAGATGGGGATTTGTATGCAAAATTTCACTAAAAGCGCCATTTCGTTCTTATAAAAGCACGGATGACCGCGATTGGCCCATATGTTAGAGTCTTTTGGACGCTGAGTCGACTGGTTTTGGTCCGAGAATGCTGCAATGCAGTGTTCCTCCTTTATTCCCAATCGAACATGGTTGAACAAGAGGTCACGTGCTCCTGCGTACACCAGTCACCTGGTCGCCGTGCCAGCCTAGCACCTGCAGGGTACAACTTACAGCCTGTTTGGACCTTTTTTGGGTGCACTCCTGTCACTCTAGTTGAACTAGAGTTGAACCTTGGTGTGAAAGTTGTCATCATGTCATCTTTTTTAGCCAAATTTGACGTGAAATTGCCCGTTACATCGGAAACAACGGTTAACCTCTTCAGCACGGCAGGGGTTTGTACCCGGCCCGCGGGCCGTTTTTCATTAAATTTCACTTTTTTCTAAAATTCGATTCTAGCTTGTGAATTTCACCTAACAATGTGCATTTATCATTGTGATGACTTATTTCAGCAGTAAAGTCAGTGTGAACATACCCTATTGCACAGATTTCAATGCAAATCAGCGCAGCAAATTTACGTATTTCCAGCACATCTATAAAAGCAGGACAGCTATTACAGGGTTTACTGCATGCAGTATCGCTTCTAGCTACAGGTATCAACAACTGCTAGTCAGAATGATAAAATATATAATGTATACTCATGGTTCACCCTCTATATGTACATATTTACATCGGTTTAGGACAAGCTACATGTCCGCAAACTCGAACAAATTTGCGTTTAGGAACCACTCGGCAATTGTGGAACAGCTATTTTCCTCGGTGCGATGTCTCGAAGCACTCAAGGCAATACCCTGGGTTCTTCGGGCAATCAGCACACATCTGCCGCACATCTCGGCGTTTCCCGTTGGCATAGCAGAACACACACATCTTCTGCGGCTTCTCCTTCTTGGCAGTCGCTGGGATGAGCCGTAGAAAGTGAGTGTCGAGTGGCTTTGCGGTACCGGCTGCAGCAGCCACAGCTGTGGTGTGCTCTGTGATTTCCAACTTGCCCTCTGCTATCAAACTCTTGATGGCTGCTTTCACCAAGTCATAATGCGACATCTTCACCTTCATCTTGTGCAGATAGTATGCGTTTAGCAGGGCCTGCTCCATCAGGTGCGTGGCCAGTTTTTTATACCATTTTCTGGTTTTCCGAGCAGCGGTGTACACCGAAATCATCCCGTCGTTTTTGTCCACACCACCCATCTTCTTATTGTAATCCTGCACCAAATCAAGCTTCCGTACCGGCCGGCGCTGGAGATCGCGCTTGCCAGTTGCACTGACCGTGGCTGTGTGGAGCGTGGAGAGGAAATGTACCTCTTTCGTGTCATGTAGCTTGATGAAAATCATGCCACCGCCACAGCGATACAGGAACTGGCCTTTCTGGAGGCCCTTGTGCTTTGCCACCTGCTTTGGAAGGCCAGTCCTGTTCTTGCGAACAGTGCCGCAGACGCCGGTGTTGTGCTCAGCCAAGTGAGTAGCAAGTGGCACGCTGGAGTACCAGTTGTCAACGAAGAGCTTGTAGCCCTTGCCGAGTAGCGGGTCCATCAGCTTGTCGACAACGGCACCAGGCACTCCAAGCTTCTTCACCGTGTCCGGGCTGAAAGTGTCGTTGTCTTTGCCCGTGTAAATGATAAAATTGTGGAGATAACCGCTGTCCTCACACAGGGCGTATATCTTCATTCCGAACCGTGCTCGTTTCGATGGAACGTACTGGCGGAATGAAATACAGCCCTTCCATGCCACCAGCTCCTCGTCAATGCACACCCACTCCTTCGGCACATACACTTGCTGAAAACGGTTTTGGAGGAAAGTCACCAAGGGCCGGATCTTGGTCAATTTGTCAGATTCGTCAACTTCATCGTTGTTGGCAAAGTGAAGGAAATTGAGAATTGATGTAAAACGCTCGCGGCTCATGGTGCGGTTGTAGAATGGTGTGGCTATCACAGGGTCAGTTGCCCAGTACTGGTCAATCTCCGGCTTGTTGACAATGCCCATGTTGAGGTAGAGTCCCAGGAAAACTTTCATCTCTCCAACAACAACTGGCTTCCACGAGCGGGCAAAACTGCGAGCCGGCAGAGTATGCAGGTTGGCATCAATAAATGCGCGTGCATAGCGATTGGTTTCCGTCACAAGATACTCAAAGAAATCTTCGTTGAAGAACAATTTCAGGTAGTCAAGTGGAGTTGGATCGTCTGGAAGCGGCATTTGGAGACCGGAGTTGCCAGTGAATGGCAGTGCGGTAGGTGCAATACTCTGCTTCACCCATATGCCTGGATGCATGTAATCACAATGTGCAGAAATTGTGTATTTCAGTATCAATTCACATATCTGTTGCATATTTATTTGTACTGCAGTACTTGGTGTCCATAACATCAACAGTGACATGCTAGAACGGGCACAAAAATATCTGCAATTCAAAATACCACTAAGTTAGCCCACCTTTGCAAAAATATAGTCAACAGCATGCAACAATGCATGAATATTTGAAATTTCAAAATTCAAAATTAGTGAAATTTTCAAATTGTAAATGCACCACCCAACTCACCTTCGCTTCCATCGTCACCTGCAGCTAGAACCTCGACAGCTTCCACATGCGACTTCAAGGACATGGCCTCGTCGCCAGCACTGGTGTCCTCCGTACCACCTGTTGCTGCTGCTTCCGTGCTCTCCATCCCCTCAACATCGTCAGCAGCATCGCCAATTTCTGGCGACGCACTTCGTTCAGGAGATGAAGACACAGACTCATCTGCCGACGAAAAATCGCTGTCAGAGACAGTTGGCTCATTATCGCTATCCAAACTCAGCGTGACCTGCTCTAAAACTTGGTCGATCTCCTCTGCGCTGTATCTACGTCGTGCCATGGTTGAAAATGTCAACAAATTGTCAACAAATTTATTTCTAATTTATTTCCGCACTGCGCGACCTACTCTTGCCGTGATACGTGGCGAACTCCACGTGTACTTGTCGTGATACGTCTCCTGAACAGGCCTAGCTCCGCGTGACCACGGTACAGGCCTGGTACTACTACACGGAAGCCAAAACAACTGTACGACGTGATGTAGATCGTATCACGTATATGTACGTGATCCGTGGACCGGTAGCATCCAGGATCACGTACATTTACGTGATGCGTGCTAAAGAGGTTAAGATGCACGTTATTTACGATATGACGCGAAAGGTCAGCTCGCGTTATTTGGCACGCGCGTTGGAAAACAACACGAGTGTCCTGCAGCTCGCGTCGAAAATTGGAGTTTTACGCCAGATTTGACGTGAAATTGTGCGTCACGTCAGACATGATGCGAAAGTTCAGCTCGCGTTATTTGGCACGAGCGTCGAAAAACAACGCGAGTGACCTGCAGCTCAAGTCGAAATTTGGAGTTCTACGCCAAATTTGACGTGTAATAGCGCGTCACGTCGGAAATACCGTGCATCTTAGCCTCTCTATTATAGCTAATGCCTACTTTCGACGTGAGCGGTAGCTCTCTCGCGTTGTTTTCTAACGCGCGAGCCAAATATCGCGATAGGAACTTTCGCGTCACGTCGAAAATAGCGTGCAGCTTAACCTCTCTAGCGTGCCGAGTGTCTCAGCTTGCACTCACCGTACTGTCACTCCTTTACTTCTCCTGTCTCCTAATAACGGAGCTGTGAGCTTCAGCTGCGATTGAGAGAGGGATGGCGTCGCGTCGGTGACCATTCTGAGAGCAATGTGTAAACAACACCGAAAATCGCAAAGAAACAAAAATAATAATAATGGATATGTCTGGCGGGCCAAGTAAACGCTGCAGCAGATGCATCACACTCTACAAGAATTCCCATCAGCTTTCCTGGCAAACTGAATAAGCAGCTGGTGTTTGCAAGATGAGACGCTTTCACGGCTTACCCGAAAGAGAGAGAGAGAGAGACCAAGTCTTTGCGTTCGTCACTGAAGTAAAGACGAAAAGAGTTTCCTATCATCCTTGTGACCTTGCCATGTTCCGAAGAACCTGCTGCATGCACCGTTCTTGTACTGGCACAGTGGCTAACGACGTCATTGCCATTCCGTAACCAGGTTACCTCCGGATCAATCGGAGTGATGCCTACACGTAGGCTACAGTAGCTGCTCACACTCACAGTCACACATGTCATTGTGTGGTTTCAGGAGCAGCGACTTGCGCGTAGAATCTACTACTGTACTTTTGCCTCTCCTGAAACCATGGAAACTGCCCCCAATCCCTCGGACCCGTCTGAAGGTGATGACGCTGCCATGGATGCGGCTGAGAAGAATGATAATTATTATGGATCGTGAGTTGTTTGAGGTTGTGACGGAAGACGCACTAAATTTTGCGGAAGCAGAGACGTTTGATAAGCCAAATCTGGCCATCATTGCTGATGTGCTATTATTGGAGACTGTGCTTATATTACGGAGGATTAGCAAGACGAAATTCGCGTTCGCGTTCACTCTCCAAGGAAAGTCGAACTCAGTGACGGAATTCGCGTTATGAGAAGGATTAGCAAACAGAATTCGCACATGCGCATGACGTTGACACGACGGACATTGTGTACAGACAGTACAGCGTGGTAAATTTATGACTGCCCTGACACGAATCCGCGATTCCTGTTCCGACTACTTTTCCGAACGAAAAATGCGAAAGTTCGCTATCCAGTTCGCGAACTGAAAAATGTTTGCGAACGCGAACGCGAATTTCGTCTTGCTAATCCTCCGTATTAGAGATAATACGGTATGTAGGTTATTTGCACAGCACACAAAATAGCGATTCTAAGGATGCAACAAATTTCGTGATTTGGCCCAAATCTGCAATTTTCTGCCAATAATTCCGCAAGCTCCTGGCAAGTTCGGCACTTTTCGCCGCATTTTGTTGTTGTTTTCTGCCGCAATTTATTGCGCCCGTTTTCGAGAATTTGTCGGCAAATTCCCACAGGGATAGTGTATTGAGCAGGAGTGGTGGTTTGTGCCGGTTTACCGATTGCAAGGTTCGACGTGCTTTCGTGTGCTTCGGATAGGCCCCGTGTAATATGCCGGCATTTTTTTTAGCATTTTCGGTACAATCCGCAAACCCAGCAATTTGGGCTGCTGATGCAGCATTTTGGGGGAAACGGAGCACTTGGCCGTTGTGTATCAAGATTGAGAGAAGAAAAACTTCCCAAACAAGAACGTCACTTCCGCATTCCGTGGGTTAGCTTCTTGTTGAGTAGTTTATGAATTGTTTCCCATGGCAACTCGAGCAAGCCTCTTAGTTAAGTCTTATTGAGTATTTTCTGACTCCCTGGTTTTGACGGCGTGTGCTGAGGATTACAAAAAAGTGAGCATTTCCGAGCATTTTCGGCAAGGTATGGGAGCATTTTCGGCAAGGTTTACGAGAATTTCCCAAAAGCATTTTCGGCAAAGTTTCGGGCATATTACACCGGGGCCTAGCTTCGGACGGCAGTCCTCAGTCAGTCAAGTGTCGGCAGCGCGAGTTCCAACCTGAGGAGCAGCCATCTTTTTTTTCGGATATTACCGCCGACGTCGCAATATCCTAGTTTCGCAGGTGTGGCCGAGCAGTTTAGGAAGCCTAGCGTATGAGCTGCAAAGCGCGTGGCATGGTTTTTCTGTGAAAGCCGCCTTCCATTAATGCATTGTGCTGCTGTATTCCGTCCAGAGATCGAGATGCATGGATGTATCGAAGCTGTGGCGAGTTTTGATGAACTCGTCGACGTATCCATACTTGAGTCTTCAACGAGAGAGCTTGGAAGCTCAGGGCCCTGCGCTATGCTTTGTTGCCTAGCTCATCGTGCATGTTGTTAGAACTGATGGAAATGCTTTTTCCTTTGATTAGCTACATCATTGTATTGCAAAAACGTTTCAATGAGATACTGAAGTACAAGTAACGTCTTTTGCATAGCTATGGGACCGGCGCTGACTTTGCCGATCACGAGCGTTCTGGAGTCGACGGGATGTCTGTCCTGACGTTTCCTGGGACCGGCGCTGACTCTGCCGATCACGGGCGTTCTTCTTCTTCTTCTTCTTCTTATTATTATTATACTGACGGCAACTAACATCCATTCTGATTGCATTTACTCGTCTCCCTACTTCGTTTTTTTCTTCAGAAAATCTCCCCATACAGCAGGGAGTCGTTTACATAATATGACTCCCTGCTATAGATCTAAATGACTGTATATACGTTATAATTATTATGCTATCGGCCTACATGCGATTCCCGGGCTGGTCGACAGGCGGCCCAGCCAGCCTGCTAGTGGGATCTCGGCCTCGCACACAAACCCACAGAAAATGTTACTGCACTGAATGCATTCCCCCGATACACTTCGCATATATACTCATTCTCTTTTTTTTTTTTTTTTTTTATGCAGTAGTTTATTTTTTATTTTTTATGAAAGACCCTTACGTTTATAATACCAGAAAAAATAATAATATGTAGCGCAAAATAAAGAGGAAGCGAAATCGCAGCCCGCAAAGGAGGCTAGCTAGCTTCTCAAACCTGGCGGAAACAGGTTAGGGTTGTTCCGTCCATGCACAAAATGATTCACAAAATGAGCCAGATACACTGCACCATAGTTTTTGTGAACATTATTGTGTTTACACACCCATGAACAACGTCCAGTTGCACCCTTGTGTATCGTGGGGTTCCCGGAGACACTTGTATTTTGTTGCACATGTGGTGCGTGCCAATGAAGAAACGGTTGAATATATCTTGCGCCCTCCGCGGGGATTGACGGGTATCCCACCGTTAGAAGAAACATACTAATGAAGGTCTGCTTCATGTATTTCATGAGTTTCGTGAGTTCATCTCTATTAGGAATAATACATGACATTTGTAATCTTTGAGATGCATATATACTCATTCTCTTGATGGTACCGTACTCTTGATGGTACGGGACAGGTACGGGATAGCGCTAGGCATATCGATGGCACAAACAAACAAAAATATTGTGGCCAGCTGTCTTTGCTGGTACGGTACAGTATGGGACAGATACGGGATAACGCGAGGCGTGACACAAACAAACAAACAAACAAATAAACAAACAAACAAACAAACAAACAAACACCAAATTAAAACTGTGTGGACCCTGGCTAGCGCCATACGTTACTGAAGTAACGTCTTCTGCATAGCTACGGGAATAAACATAATTATATGTACGACTCATAACCGTATTGCATTAGTATTCCTTCTTCGAGAGCAGGTCACGACTGATTTTCGTTCCTTCGTGTGCTAGCGGACCCCTGCGTGGTTTGCGTTTTGATGAGCCAGCGAGTGCGGCTCGGTCGATCGGGTCGAGGTGTGAAGATCTACGGACGTCTGTCCGAGCCGAATCTGCCGGCGCACTGCCTGCTGTTCGCGCAGTCTAGAATCTTCTGAGTAGATCTACGTCTAGTGCTACTAGTTTGAGTGTCCGTAGGCTAGGCTGCATCTAATGCTAGCACAGTAGCAGACGAGCAATTACTTCCCAACCAGGTGATTGTCGTTGTCTGGTGGAATTCTCTAGCTCTGTACAGAAGTCACCGTGCCACGTGCTAACTACGTGTGAGCAGCTGATTGGCCCATTTCAAAGTTCACACCAGACCGCGATGTCCTTTTCCATGCATTAGCGAGTGCTTTACACGATGAAGCGGTTGTATTGTTACTGGTACAGTGGTAGACCACGCGGCTAGCACTGCTAGACTGCCACGGGCAAGGGCCGTTGGACGGCTTCCGAGAATCGTATGGTGTAAGGTCAAAGTTCACGCTCGAAGAATGCTAGCAGCTGCATCCGCTCGCCAGCGAGGCCGGGTTGAATCAACTTACTAACTAATATTACTTTTTCCTTGTAGATCAAGAACATGTTTCATTATTCGTTGTTGTTTGGAAGGAAGCACGTAATGTCCTTCTTCTCCGTTTGCTTTCTTTGAGGCTAACCCGAGACACTGTAAAGCCGGCCAGCATTTGATAGGTGTGTACAGAGCAAAGATAAGATGTAGTCGATAGGCTTATTTTTGAAGGATTCCGACTATCGTGTGCAGGTTTCTCAACTGGAGCGCCACGGGGAGCGAAGAAGGTAAATTTTGGCCTTCATCTCTTTCACCAAGTGTTGTGTATTCCTCGCGAACCATCTTTGCGCTTTACAGGAACACTCCTGCCCGCATAACATGTGGCGTCTTCGTGTGGGTCCGCAGTAAATATAAAACACTGTCCTGTGATGATTCAGCCCTGTCTTCTGTTGTCTTTCTCTTTTTCTTTGCAGCCAAGGAGTGTATCAAGAGGCTTGATGCGCATGCGCGGTGCGACGGCGGCACACTTCTGGCTGCATCTTTTTACATTTCCCAAGAGGTAAGAATTTCCTTTGTTGACTATCATTCTTATGTCGTAAGGGGATTCTGGTGTCCTAGTTGACCACCTTATTGAATCGTGAATAGGATGCACCTCCACTTTCTCCTTCACTCTTGCCAACTAGCAGTTCAACAAGCACACGATTATCTACTAACAAGCGTTATTTCTGTTGTTTTGTAGGAAAACATGTTGCTGTGTACCGCTAGCTATTGCGGACACTGGGATTGCCCTGCGGGTGCGCCACTCATATCACCTTGTCGGTCACAAACACCTGCTACGCTGTCGTACCGTCCGGATGTTTTGCGGCCAGAACCTTTGGAACTCCAGGTATCCATCGCTGGAAGGGGTGCTCTCCTTTCGTTCAGGTACAGTACCCATGTTGG